TAAAACATTTTTACACAATTTATGAGGGAGATTTTAACTTGTGTTTCCCTTTCTTTTTCTTACAAGCTTAAATAATTTCTCGTAGTATATAATAAGTAGTTTTTTGTTTTTTTTATTGCCATATATAATAAGTAGTTGACGAAAAAAATTCCTTGCATGTCCAATACGGCGGCCTTTGATTAATACCATTCCTCAAATATGGTACAAAACCATTTTGTAGTATTCCTCACATCCAAAAAATAAGTGTATTATCTTTATTGTTCCAATTCATTTCTGACAAAAAAAAAAAAAAATCCTTACATAATATCCTCGTATATCCTTCCAATTTTTTAATCGAACCCATTTTCTTGGAACCTTTGCTAGTCAACACATCAAAATCTCTCTCTCTCATTGATAATTGATTTTTCTTGTTGTAATTGCACCAAATCAAAGATTCTTTTTTAGTCCACGTCTTCACTTTGGATGAACCTACAAAGCCCCGAGGTGGGTCCTCGGGGTAGACACTCTAATGGTTAAGTCAGCAATAATCAGATCTACCTCTAGACTAATGAAAAAAGAGCTTTTAGATTGGTTTCAATTACCTTTTTGAGGTTGCCCATGAGGGGTATTTATAGGCCTTCGTGAGATGTCCACGTGGCTTGCTTAACAGGATAATCGGAGTGTGATGTGTCCCCTCAGGCAGTAATTTCAGGACCGAGAAATTCTGTGTGACAAATCAGGTGTGGGCATGTCCACTGTATTTATCATATAACCATTTGATCGGGAAGTGTTGGATTTAACTTTACTTCGGCTATTAAAGTATTGTAGCAGTACGTCCAAGGTTAAGGACCTTGGACCTATCCTTACACTATTCCCCCCCTCGAAGTCATTCACTTGTGAATGATGTTGTTAGAGATAATGGGAGTAGTACATAAATAGGTGAAAAGAGGAATGAAAAAATATCAAAGATGAGTTATTGAAGTTAAGATAAAAATTGGTAATTCAAATTTTTGTATGGCTGTGACTAATAGTAGAATATGTGACACGGGGTCAATGGGGCTATTCCCAAAGTAAAATGTGACACGGGATGACAATGGCTAGAGTAATGACTGAAGTCATTGTGATCGGGGTCATAATAAAAAGTAATGACTGGAGGCATTGTAGCCAGAGCCGCAGTAAGAAGTAATGACCGGAGTCATGGTGGCTGAAGCTGAAGTAGAAAAGTAATGACTGGGGTCATTGTGGCTAGAGCCGGAGTAGAAAGTAATGACCGGAGTCATTGTGGCCGGAGCGAAGTAAAAAAGTAATGACCGAAGTCATTGTGGCCGGAGCCGAAGTAAAAAAGTAATGACCAGAGTCATTGTGGCTAAAGCCGTAGTAAAAAGTAATGACCAGAGTCACGGTGGCCGGAGCCGAAGTAGAAAAGTAATGACTGGGGTCATTGTGGCTAGAGCTGTAGTAGAAAAGTAATGACCGGGGTCATTGTGGCTGGAGCCGTAGTAAAAAGTAATGACTGGAGTCATTGTGGCCGGAGTCATAGTAAAATATGTGACACAGGGTCACTATGGCCGTAACCAAAGTAAAATACTTGTAAAATTGAAAATATTATTGTAAAAGTGAACAGAAGTGTTGAGTTGGGGTTAATTGGGCCTATTTAAAAAGTTTGACGTAGGATTAGTACGTGACATCACAGCTGTCTGTTGAAAGACATGTACAATAAATACGGACTGAAAAAAGTAACTGTTACAGTTAAACAGACGGAATGAAAAACGAACCGTCGAATTCGAGAGGCTCCCATTAGGGTTTAACCTTTGAATTCAAAACGGTGTGAATTGTGACCGTCATATTAAATTAATCACAACCGTTGAGATATATTTTTGCTTTGTGGTATATATAGCCACATTTCTGTGATAATAACCCCATATATATAAAACATTTTTACACAATTTATGAGGGAGATTTTAACTTGTGTTTCCCTTTCTTTTTCTTACAAGCTTAAATAATTTCTCGTAGTATATAATAA